TATAGGCAATTATGAAGGCCCCTATACAAGGCTGATAGCCTCTGAAGGATAAATCCTCAATGCCGGATCCCAAACCCGAAGCCCCATACTAGCCGGCTGAGCATGCGACCCAGTCGTTTCAGAACGAAGCCGCAGTTCTCCTGTTTAGGGTTTAGGGNNGGGTTTAGGGTTTCGGGTTGTGTCCACGGCGTTACGGACTGAGGGTTTTGGTCGTGGGGGTGTCGGAGGACATGTTTATCAACCTTGTAGTGGTGCGCCCTGAGTACAGCCCCTCCGACGATCATTGGGCTATCGATCTGGTTTTACAATCCCGAATCCTCTTAGCTTCTATGAACCAATACCCATCGAAAGTTTTCTTCTAGTGACCCTGTTGGAAAACGCAGCTTTGCAAGAGTTACCCCCCCACCCCATCACCCCCAAAACAGCCGGCGCCAGGTGTAGGGGTCTTTGTTTGGGGGTACCCCAAACCCTCCACCCCATAGACTTTGGCTTTTCCATGAATGCCAGACCCCATGGGCTGAGGATAACATCAAGTTTGAACTTCAAAATACTTGAAATATGCCGCCTATGCCATGAAGGAGCCGTGGGAAGTGTGGCTTGAAGATTCCCTGAGAGCTCCATCCTGAAAACCTGGACCCTTAGCCTGATATCGGGCTTATGGGTGCGAACATTATGTAGGGTTGCAGGTTGAGGGTTTTGGGTCTAGGGTCTAGGGTNNAAAGTTTTGGGCTTAGGGTGTAGGGTAGGTTTAGGGTACCTCAACCCCCGAACTACTTGCAGGAGCATGAGACTTTGCTGCCTTTGCTAGTCTGTTATCATTCTTGTCATTCTCGCGAAAACCGATCCGTGGGACTCCCCTGCACTTCCCGCCGCGTGCCTGTATGACGTCGGAGTATCTGTAGAAGGCCCCTGTCCTTAGCCACACACACTTTCCTCGTCTTGGTACGCTGTGCACAGCGGCTGCTTCCGTCTCATTGCGTGTCGAGTAAGCTCTGAATCGCAAACCCCAGGCCCTACATCCTACAGTAGAGGCCCAAAAGTTGG